CAGAATCCGGCTTTTTTTTCAATAGGTGATTTTAATATAAACTTAATTGGGTCTGACAATAATAAGTCTGTTTCGTATTTCGGAAATACCTTATATTCATTGCATTATCGTCCGTTGATTTATAAAGCCACTAGAATTACCGACCATAGTTCGTCTCTCATTGACAACATATATACAAACAATTTAGAATTCCATGTCTCTGAAATCATTTTCAGTGACATATCGGATCACCTACCTATATTTACATCAGCTGAAAATAAAGTATCAGATGTTGAAGTTGAAGTGGTAGATAAATTATGTTTTTCTAGGCAAAACCTGGAAAAGGTTAATAACCAGTTGTTAGCTCTTGATTGGTCGGCTGTCTTTGCTTCAGCTGACGTTAACATTTTTCTGAAATATGTTACCTCCACCAATTCTAAATTCTGTCTTAAAACTCAAGTCACTAAGAAAAAATTCAAAAAACCGTGGTTCACAAATGAGCTACTGAAATTGTCTAAACTTAAAAATAATCTTTAAAAGAAATTTTTAAAAAATCCAACTGATTTTAATAAGCAATATTATTTAATTCATAAAAACAATTCCCTAAAAGTCAAAAGACAATCAATAGTTTTATTTTAAAAAAATGAATTTAAAGCTTGTCATAATAACATAAAAAAACCTTGGAAAATAATAAATGGTTTAATAAATAAAAACAACATCTCAAAATCAGTTGGTACTTGAAATCATAATGGTGATATTTTTCATTTGGGTAATTTGATCGCCAACACATTTAATAATTTTTTTATCAATTCCGGAGTTGTACCGGCTGTAGAAATCAACAATTGTAATTTTCTTAGCTCCATGCCACTTTCCACATGTTCGTCCATCTTTTTTTGTGAAACCAATGAGCTTTGTTTCTAAATTAAAAAATTCCCTTTCGTCTGGCCACGATGGTATTTCTAACTACATCATTAAAAACATAATTAATTCAGTTGTAAAGCCACTAACATATTGCATTAATTTATATTTTATCACAGGAATTGTGCCTAACTGTCTTAAAATTACAAAGGTTATTCCAGTTCACAAAAATGGTTCCTCAGATTTAGCATCCAACTATTGTCCTATATCATTAGTGTCATCTTTGTTGAAAATCATGAAGAAAATTATATGTGATAGTATTACTTCGTTTTTAAATAAATTTCAAATTTTGTCTACTTGCCAGTTCGGTTTCAGAAAGGAAAGTTCAACCGAACTTGCTATTTTAGACTTAACACTTTATGTTTGTAGTAACATCGATTTAAAACGACACACCATTGGTACGTTTATTGATATAAAAAAGCATTTGACACTGACTGTCATGAGTTGTTGTTAACAAAAATGTCGCATTATGGAATTAGAGGACATATGTTA